GACAAAAGACCTGTATGCAGAAAACTATAAGACACTGATGAAAGAAATTAAAGATGATACCAACAGATTGAGAGATATACCATGTTCTTGGATTGGAAGAATCAATATTATGAAAATGACTATACTACCCAAAGCAATCTACAGATTCAATGCAATCCCTATCAAATTACCAATGGCGTTTTTTTTCAGAACTAGAAGAAAAAATCTTAAAATTTGTATGGAGACACAAAAGACCCCGAATAGCCAAAGCAATCTTGAGGGGAAAAAGCAGAGCTGGAGGAATCAGACTCCCTGATTCAGACTATCCTACAAAGCTACAGTAATCAAGGCAATATGGTACTGGCACAAAAACAGAAATATAGATCAATGGAACAAAATAGAAAGCCCAGAGATAAACCCATGCACCTATGGTCAGCTAATCTATGAGAAAGGAAGCAAGGATATACAATGGAGAAAAGACAGTCTCTTCAATAAGTGGTGCTGGGAAAACTGGACAGCTACATGTAAAAGAATGAAATTAGAACACTCCCTAACACCGTACATAAAAATAAACTCAAAATGGATTAGAGACCTAAATGTAAGACTGGACACTATAAGACTCTTAGAGGAAAACATAGGAAGAACACTCTTTGATATAAATCACAGCAAGATCTTTTTTGATCTACCTCCTACAGTAATGGAAATAAAAACAAAACTAAACAAATGGGACCTAATGAAACTTAAAAGCTTTTGCACAGCAAGGAAACCATAAACAAAACGAAAAGACAACCCTCAGAATGGGATAAAATATTTGCAAACGAATCAATGGACAAAGGATTAATCTCCAATATATAAAAATAGCTGATGCAGCTCAATTTAAAAAAAAAAAAAACGAATCCAAAAATGGTCAGAAAACCTAAATAGACATTTCTCCAAAGAAGACATACAGATGGCCAAGAAACGCATGAAAAGCTGCTCAACATCACTAATTAGTAGAGAAATGCAAATCAAAACTACAATGAGGTATCACCTCACACCAGTTAGAATGGGCGTCATCAGAAAATCTACAAACAACAAATGCTGGAGAGGGTGTGGAGAAAAGGGAACCCTCTTGCACTGTTGGTGGGAATGTAAATTGATACAGCCACTATGGAGAACAGTATGAAAGTTCCTTAAAAAACTAAAAATGGAATTACCATATCACCCACAATCTCAGTACTGAGCATTTACCCAGAGAAAACCATAATTCAAAAAGACACATGCACCCCAATGTTCATTGCAGCTCTATTTACAATAGCCAGGTCGTGGAAGCAACCTAAATGTCCACTGACAGATGAATGGATAAAGAAATTTTGGTACCTATATGCAATGGAATATTACTCAGCCATAAAAAGGAACGAAGTTGGGTCATTTGTTGCGATGTGACTGGATCTGGAGACTGTCATACAGAGTGAAGTAAGTCAGAAGGAGAAAAACAAATATCATATATTAACGCGTATATGTGGAACCTAGAAAAATGGTACAGATGAACCAGTTTGCAGGGCAGAAATTAAGACACAGACGTAGAGAACAAACGTATGGACACCAAGCGGGGAAAGCGGTGGGGAGGTGGCGGTGGTGGTGTGATGAGTTGGGCTATTGGGATTGACCTGTATACACTGATGTGTATAAAACTGATGACTAATAAGAACCTGCTGTATAAAAAATATAATAAAATTCAAAAATCCAAAAAAAAAAAAGTGGGGAAGAAAAAAACAACAGCCCTCCAGACACCAAGTACAGCAAGGGAGTTCCTTTTCTTTCCCTCCCTGGAATAAGTTCCAGTTCCCCTGGACAGCAGAAAACTTCATCCAGTTCATTTCCAGGGTCAACTCAGGATCTACAATTTACAATTTGGTCCCAGAATGACACCGTGGTATTTTGTGCCTCTCCTGGTTCTACTAAACTGCTGGGCTTTGGGAGCAGGCAGTGAGTGATGATCTGTGGTGACCTGCTGTGGGTTAGTAGGTAGCAGCCACCTCCTTCTCCCCTGCTTTGGGTGCTGTGTGGAGGGTGGGGTGGCTCCCCCATACAGGTGGACAGGATACTGACAGCCTTGCTGAGGCATGTTGCTCATGTAATTCATACTCTGAGTGTGGCCTGTGGGTGATCTGGTCTCCAAAAACTCGCTTAGAACCAAATCAGTCATGCCTACCTTTGACCCTCAACACATAAATTGTGCTCCCTTTTGGTGTGTATCTGCGTGAATTATCTCGTTTACCTGGCAGCTTCTAAGGCAGCATGCTGGGTCTTTCCACGGGGGGATTTGGGACCATGGGAGCCTCCCCACCACACCACGGCTGGCAAACGTGCTGCCTGCCTCCCTCCTCTCCTCTGTACCAGCTCCCTTACACCCTGCTGGCTCCAGCAAGGTACCTGGGTGAGAGTGCCACCTTGGGAAACCTCCAGAAGAGAAGCAAAAGGCCTTCCTCTTCTCTCTCAGCTCTCCCTAAACCTCATGAAGAACGCTCTTCTATTTCTCCTCTTTCTGAGGACGATGGTGATGGTGATGATGGTCATGATGATGATGACGATGTGTGTGTGGGCAGTGAAACACATGGCTTCTCATTCTTGATCTTTAAACTCTGCCCTCCTCCAGTCAGGCAGAAGGAAAACCTGGTTTTTTCCCCCTGACACCCCTTTGGGGTCTGTCCAGTCTCAGTCTCAGAGCTGTGTTCTTGTTTGGAGGTCCTAGCAGGGGAGCGCTGTTGCTCATATACCCTTGATTGGATAAGGGTTCTCTTCCTTCTGGGAAGGTTGTCCTCTTTGACCAAGCACACGGCTTCAGGAGGGAGGCACATGGAGCAGTGAGGGAGGAAGGGGACAGCCACCAGATCACCCCCACATCCTCTTTAGGGTCAGGGGTTCTATTCCCAGCGCTGGAGGCATCTGTGCCTCAATGGGTGATTTTGATTTTAGTTCCCGGTTGGTGGAGAGTTCCAACAAGAAGCAACAGGGCATCAAAAAAGGGCACATTTAATTAATATGTCACGTATCAACCAGCCACAGGTATGTAATTTTTGAGTTAACTGGTTTCAGTTCTCCTCTCATGTTGTCCACTAGCCACCGGCAATCATCTTATGGTGTGACTTTGGACACTTCGCTTCAGATCTCAGAGCCTCAGTTTTCCAAGGCTGGATCATATCTAAGGCCCCTTCCAGCTCTAAACTTTTAAAATGCTTGTGTTTGGGATTCTGTGTACTGAGCCCTGACGTCCATGTGAAGTACAGTGAATCCTCGGCAGACTCCAGTTTCTTTAGGAATGGAGGGGAGGTCTGTTATAGGTTCGGTATCATCCACTGATAATCCAAAACCCCACGTTAGCCTTTGGTTTTGATCTTATGCATTAGAACCGCGAACAAGCTGCAAAACTGACCAATTTGAATTCTACCTGTCCCTTCCCCTTCTATCTTCTCAAAGACATTCTAATTTGATCTGTAATGTGGCCAAAGGGCAGACAGTAGCAGGGAGGAGAAGCCAGAAGCATGAAAAATCTCCAAACTGGATCATCCACCCCCTGGATAATGGGCAGTTGCCTGAACAGAATGCTCAATTAGCACTCATTTTCCCCCCAAGCCAGCCCCTGTCCCCACGCTGCAGTGGTTATAATCTCCATGGCAAAATGCATAAAACTATCGAGCTCCTTAGACAAATTCTACCATTCCTAACTCAGTTCACAGCAGGCTAGATTTTTGAAATTGAGAAACTGGTTAATTGTCATTTGGAAGTAGCAGAATTTAAAATACCTTACCAAGGGACTTCCCTGGCAGTCTAGTGGTTAGGACTTCGTGCTTCCACTGCCGTGGGCCCAGGTTCGATCCCTGGTGCGGGAACTAAGATCCCGCAAGCTGCATGGTGTGGCAACAAACAAATTCTATTCAAAAAAAAAAAAAAAAAAAAAAAACCTTACCAAAATGCCAGTTGGGGGGGGGGGGGGGGCAAGGACTGTGTTTTCTGCAGTGTAGACAAGAAAAAGCAACAGAAACTTGCATGAATTTTCACGTTTGCCTCCATAATTGTCAGTGTCCTTGTGTGAAGATCTCTTAACCTATGAAAGTACCTGACTTGTAGATATTGTTGAAATCCTACATGACCTCCACTGGCTTCTCTCTACACCGTGATCGTTTTTTAGGCGGTGGGGGTACTGATCCTTGCTAACCATAATCTCTGTGCATCTCATTTTGCATCCTTGAGGAAGAAAATCTGATTGGTTCTTGACCACCCAGTGGATAGGCTGTCTTTGGGTCAGATGAATGTATGTTCATTGCCTGCTCTACCCACAGTCCTTGCCTAGGAGAGACTGCCCTATGTACCTTAAGACTCTAACCAAAGGTACCTGGACTGGGAGTGGACATCTGAGCTGGTTGGTGCTTGTAAAACTTTTGGGCTCCGTGGTAAGAGACTAGACCAGTCACGTGGCAAGGTCCTTCCCCACCACAGACCCTGTGGCCTGCATGTGGACTGCATGAGTCTCTGAAGGTCCTTCAGGCTCCAGTGTTGTATGTCTTTCCTAAGCCTAAAGGCTCCTATGGTCTCTCAGACCAAATCCCAGCAGGGATGAGGACTCAGCGAGACAGAGTGCCCGCCTCAGGGTGGACGGGTAGCCAAGAGGTCCTAAGCCAAGATTGAGATGGTGGAGAGGGCCGGGGGTTTACAGGAATGCAGAAGGATCAGGGGCCAGGACTGTGTCAACTGTGACCCTAGGAAGGGAGGGAAAGGCAAAGACTAGGGCTAAAACAGGTGTCACTTAGTGTCCTGGCAGGGTTGGATATCTGAATGCTTCTGGCATATGGAGTTGGGTGGTCCCTGTCTCTATCCTCTGATTTTGCTTGGGGTTGGGGAACTTCCAGGGGAGAACACTCAAATCCTGCCCACAGTTGGAGTTAGGCTCCCACCAGATGCCCTTTACCTGCTGGTGTGCCCAGCTTCTGCCTGCTGTGAGTGTTGGCTGCTAATGGCTCATAATTTGTTTCCTTCTCCAGAGGATTGCCCTGAGGTTACACATTTCACCTCGAGAGGCAGCCCATGACTGACTGATATGGGGGTACAAAAGGCCAGCTGCTGGCTTTAAAGTGGGACCGAAGTTATGCTGCACTTCATCCTCCAGAACAACCCCGGGGATCAGGCTGAGGCTTGTCTCCAGTGGGGACGACGCCCAAGTTTAGCTTCTTCCTTGCCCCATCCTGCTCCCTCCATTCCCCTTCTCCCAAGACTTTCCTTCAATAAATTGTGTGCCTTTGAATTTCTGTTTCAGGGTCCGCTTCTAGGGATACCTGCCTAAGTGACATTTTGCTGATTAATACTTGCATCTTAGAAATTCTGTGGGTCCTACCTTTTTATATCTGTTTCTTTCATGACTTTGGGATCTTTCATTCCAACAAGGGGGATCCAATATGGTGAATTTATTAAGACTCTTTAGGAATAATGGAACCACTGCTCTACAGGGTAAATTCATATAGAGCAGAAAGGTTTTCTCGTGTTAAGGAAGATTTTAATTTATTATCCACTGATAAAAATTTGTACTTTAACAATTGAGTTAGAAAAAACCTCAATTGTTCCTTTATTTTTTTCCTTTTAGCCCATCTCCTTTTCCTCTTCCTCCTTCTCTTTTTCCTCTTTCTCTCCTTCATGTTCACTATTACTTTTTTGCTCTGATACTCATCTCAAAAATTTCAGCTCCTTGAGTCATTACAGTATGTATCTCTTCTCAGAGGAGCTCTGTATTCACTTCTTGTCCTTCAAACAACGATCTCAATTTCATCCGTCTTAAGAAAGAAGCCCCTCCTCTTCCTGCTTCACTCCACCATGCTGCTGAAAAGGCACTTGCAATAATACTTCATCAAACACTTTCTAGACTGGTGGCAAATTTTTCTTTGTGAAATACTGGAGCAAGTCTTGGAGTATCTCCCAGAACAGTAAGAGCTTATAAGATATCCAGTGAAATTATAATAGCTGGAGGCTGAGAAAAATAATAACTTATTTGGTGATTACATCATGTTTCTATTTTTTCCCCTATAGATTACTAGAGCTACAACTTTTCCATTTTTTTCCAGCACACTTAATTTGAGCTATCAAAGCTCCTTATAGTCACCTTCTTATTCTTTCTTTCTTTCTGTCTTTGTAAGAAAAATATAAGAAAAGGGGAATTAAATTGAATCTTTTTATCTCACCTTATGATCAAGAATCTGTCCTACAAATTGAACATGAAATAAGATCCAAAGGTTGCTTAAAGGTAGTAGGACTAGCAGGATTCCTAGAGTCCAATTTTATCCTTTGATATAAATCTCAGGAGATTTTATTTTATTTTATTTTATTTATTTATTTTTTTGCGGTACGCGTGCCTCTCACTGTTGTGGCCTCTCCCGTTGCGGAGCACAGGCTCCGGACGTGCAGGCTCAGCGGCCATGGCTCACGGGCCTAGCCGCTCTGCGGCATGTGGGATCTTCCCGGACCGGGGCACAAACCCGTGTCCCCTGCATCGGCAGGCGGACTCTCAACTACTGCACCACCAGGGAAGCCCTCAGGAGATTTTTTTAAAAGACAAAGCAAACTTGGAGAGCCAAATTCATCAGAGTCAATCATAAAAGATATGTAAGAAAATCTGGATAATGCAGAGGAGGGCCAGAACTCTTATTGTGTATCCAACAGTTTGATAAAGTCATAGAGAGTGGATTGGCCCAAGTTGTCATCACTGGATTTAAGTTCTTGAATAACCAGCCCCATCCTTCCTTTCCAGGCTTATATCCCATTAATTTCTCTTGCTCTCACCTTTCCTCACATTCTTCCTTTTTCTCTCTCAGTGTATATGCACACATTTACACACACACACACGTATACAATTCAGAGAACAGTCCTGCAGGATGTCCCTGGTAGTCCAGTAGTTAAGACTCCACACTTATACTGCAAGGGGTGTGGGTTTGATCCCTGGTCCGGGAACTAAGATCCCACATGCTGTGCAGCAAAAAAAAAAAAAAAAAAAAAAAACAAAAGAGAGAGAACAGTCCTGAAAATTAGGACCATATGTGCATCATGAGTATTAAGATTCTGAGTCTGTCATTAACCTTGTTTATTTCAGGGATCAGTTGAAGTTCACCAAAAGCCCCAAGATATTTTCCTAGTTGATGGTGAGGGCTAGAGGTGCCAGTTAAAATGTTAAAATACAGGATGCCCAGTTAAATTTTAATTTTTCAGATAAACAATGAATATTGGCACCTGCTTATACTAAAAAAATTTTGTTATTTATCTGAAATTCAACTTCACCTGGGCATCCTGTATTTTTATTTTGTTAAATCTTTCAACCCTAATGGAGGTGGTAGATCAGTCAGGGTCTTGTCACAAAAGAGATCACACGTTTAAATTGGGTAATTTGAAGAGAGTTTCAAAAAGAGATTATTTACAGAGGTGTGGACAGTTTCAGCAGAACACATAAACTGATAGGAGTTTGAAACAGCAGGGTTCAATGAGTGCTTCTAAAGGATTGAGGAGAGGGAGAGGTTTCAGAACCCCGAGACAGAGAGGCCCCCTGGGGAGGGATGCAGATGGGAGAAATGACCTTTGGGGGAGTGGCTGAATCCAACTGGAGGCCTGGAGGTAAGAGAGCCTGTTGATGTGGCTCACAAAATCAGCTTCCTGGGTTGGTATGGACAGGCAGATTGGATAGAAAGGGTCAAGTGGAAAATATCCAGCACAGGGCATCTTGGTGACTCTGAGCATCCAGGTGATGTGGGCCTAGTGTAAAATAGGCTCCAGCACTCTGGGGTGGAAACACTTCACTGTCAAATGCCTACTTCGGAGGCTCCCGCTGCCCTGGGAGAGCCTCAGTGTGTGAGCTTAGGCAGATCAGCTATCAGCCCTAGTGAGAGACAAACACCCCCTCTGTGGGTCAGGTTTTTTTTTGGCGGGGTGTGGGGGGGGCAGGTTTACCTTTCATTTCTTCTTCACAGCTGTGGGCTGAGAGAAAGTTCAAGAAGCCCTCCTGGCCTGTGTATTAGTTAGGGTTCTCCGGAGAAACAGAACCAACAGGATCTATATCTGTATCTGTATCTGTATCTACATATGATTGTTATATTTATATATATAACAATGTTCAGTGGCGTTCTGATTTTTGCACGTGCGTGCACGCATGTGTGTGTGTACAGAATTTCTTCTTGCTCAGGGGAGGTCAGTCTTTTGTTCTATTCAGACCTTCAACTGATTGGACGAGGCCCACCACATTATGGAGGGGAATCTGCTTTACTCAGTCAACCAATAAAAATGTTTATCTCATCCAAAAACACCCTCATAGAAACTTGCAGAATAACATTTGACCAACTGTCTGGGCACCATGGCCCAGCCAAGTTGACACATAAGACCATCACAGACTGTTTTTAGTGTAGTTATTGGCCAGAGACACAAAGACATTGTCACCCTTCTGTGGTCCAACTCAGCTACCAAGCCTGGACTCTTCCTGTGTAGTTCTGGGGCCAAAGCAAGAGCAACCTTGCATTTCCCTCACCCTAGCCTCTTTCTTGTCTCTTTCCTAGGAACCTGCCAAAGGTGCGGGCTGGTGGCCAAAGATTGAGGGATTTAGAATCTTTGTCCTCTGACCCTCAATCTTTAGTAGCTTGGAGGCATTTGGAAAAAGAATCTACCACAATCAAGAAGCCATTTACCTGAAATGATCGTTATGAGTTACTTGATCACGGAAGATATTAGAAGCCAGTGTCATAGTGTGCTGGTGTATGATTTTTTGGTACATGTTGGCATTATTGGGATTAATAACTAGCCATCAAGCCTAGGAGTTTTTCAGACTTTCATGTAGATAATTCCTGGAGGACCACTTGTATAATAGCTAAACTAGTATGATGAATGTCTTTTGGAGAAACCATGCTGCTTCGCAGGCAGATATGAACTGGTCGCGATACTAAAGGGTGATTCAAATTCCTTTGTATTAGAAGTCATATTCAGTTTACATTATGAACCAATTTCAGGTTTCACACAATTAACTGATCACCATGACAATGTTCAGTGGTATTCCGATTTTCCTAATAGGTATTTCTCCTTGTATATTGCTATGTCAAAGGATTTCAGCATTGCATACGTGGGAGTGAACATAAAAATTATGGTCTCATCCTTAGATAAAAGTTAGTGATCAGGGCTACGTGTAATGGTCCAGTTGTCCCAGGAGTTACAGACTTTTAAATTACTGACATGAAAGCAGATGTTTACATTGTGTTCCTAGGGAGCTACACTGTGATTCTCATGTCTTGTGGCAAGAACTTCCTCCAGTCTTTCCATGGCTAATCATTTGTTTACCTCATGATTAGGTAGGGTCAGTTAATATCATTTCCAAGAGGTGGTACCACCCCTGAGTCCTAGATGGCAGGGTGTCCGTAAAGTATTGGAAAATCCCAAGGTCAACAGAATTCCAAATGAAGAACTCGAAGTGTAGTTGCTTGAGTTTAATTGTGTTTTTGCTGTAATGTCATTAATAATCAGCTGTTAATAAGCTTAGCAAAGTCACATTTTTACAAAAGTTTTAATTCCCCAACAAGATCAACAAGACATTTATTGACTTTCAGTGGAGATAATGCTTTAAGTATCTTGGTTAAATTGTATTTTCAGTCTCCATAGAGTCTTACCTCACCCAGAGGTCTGAGTGCTGGAATAATGCACGTGTTAACTAGTTCAAGGACATCTTTTTTGATTAATTGTTCAATCAATCTCTTATGCAAAGCAAGAACTCCATTTATAGATTTCAAAGGAATTGGTAAAATCGTTATCGAAGGCTCTAATTAGAAGATTTACATGTTAGGTATGTGTTTTAGAAAGGTCTTTCTGACTGTTGTGTGGAAAAAGGTTTAGGGGGATAAAGATTAGCAGCAGGAAGACCAGTTGGGGGTCTGCTGCAATCCTCCAGAGAATGGAAGGGTCTAAACTGGGCTGGTGATGGTAGGATTGGTGAGGAGCCAGGAGTCTATCCTCACATGGTGGTACCTATGAGCCCAGTCTCACAGATCTCCAGTGACAGGGAACATAATTGATCAAGCGCCCTGCTGTCGTGCTCTGCAATCCAACATCATGCTTGTTTTGAAGCCATGTTTCCCATGGACTGCTCTCCGCCAATCATTGAGGGTGGCAGTAATACAAATGCAGGAATATTCCCAGGAGACCGTGGACTCCTCTCATGGCTGGTTTTGGCTCCAGAACTCCCCAATGGCTTTGTGAAAACTTCCTTACACTACACAGCAGTATAGGACACCTCCACCAAACCTTCCTTCCCTCTCTCTCACTTGGGGTCACACTGCATCATGATTTGATGACTCTTCCCGCCTTCCTGGCTTCCTCCATGTTTTCTCTCATAGGCATTTCCCTTAATCAAAATCCTTGCATGTTTACACACACTTGGCATCTGCTTCTTGGAGAACCCAGATTAACACAGGAGACAATTTCAAAATTAAAAATATTTTAACTATTTAAAAAATAGACTTGACAGAGGAACGAGGGAGAAGGATGAGTTTACGATGCCTCCTGGTCTTCTGACTAGCAAGAGAATGGATGGTGGAAGTATCAATATTTGCAGAGCTAGAGAACCCAAGATGAGGAGTGGGTTTAGAGTTGAGATTTGCTTTATTTAAAAAAAAATTTTATGGGAGTATAGTTGATTTACAAGGTTGTGTTAGTTTCAGGTGTATAGCAAAGTGATTCAGTTATACATATACATATATTCATTCTTTTTCAGCTTCCTTTCTCATATAGGTTATCACAGAATATTGAGTAGAGTTCCCTGTGCTCTACAGTAGGTCCTTGTTGGTTATCTGTCTTACATACAGTAGTGTGCATATATTAATCCCAAGCTCCTGATTTATCCACCCCACCATGTTCCCCCTTTGGTAACCATAAGTTTGTTTTTGATATAAGTCTGTTTTTGTTTTGCAAATAAGTTCATTTGTATCATTTTTTTAAAATGAGATTCCACATATCAGTGGTATCATAGATATTTTTCTTTCTCTTTCTGACTTACTTCACTTAGTATGATCATCTCTAGGTCCGTTCATGTTGGTGCAAATGGCATTTTTTCGTTCTTTTTTGTGGCTGAGTCATATTCCATTGTATACATGACCACTTCTTATTTATCCACTCTTCTGTCAATGGACATTTAAGTTGCTTCCTAAATGTCTTGGCTATTGTGAATAGTGCTGCAGTGAACATTGGGGTGCCTGTATCTTTTCGAATTATGGTTTTCTCCAGATATATGGAGGTTTGCTTTAAATCCCTATCGTCTCTGTGCTGACTGGGGAGTCTGATGCCCAAATGACAGCTCTTTTCCTCCACTTATGTCTAAAGTTTATCGAATGTTGCTGTTCCTGGCT